GTGCCTACAGGAATGTTTGCCAAGTTCAGTTCCAAGGAATTCCAGGGAGCAGTTTTGGCAAAATATTAATAGCTTTTCTTTGGAAAATGAGTTCAGTATTTAAATAAGTCAGGGCAGTGCTGCCTGCTCCTCACCCTCTCACAAAGTGTGAGCACATGTGCATTTTAAAGCATTAGATAAGACTTCTGATAAAGAAAGCTGCTTATGGCTTGGCACCTATAGTACAGTGGTTACGGCACCAGCCACATACACCTAGGTTGGCAGGTTCAAACCTGGCCCAGGCCAGCTAAACAACAATGACAACTGCAACAAAAAATAGCCAGGCGTTGTGGTGGGTGCCTGTAGTCCCAGCTACTAGGGAGACTGAGAATTTCTTGAGCCCAGGAGTTGGAGGTTGCTGTGAGCTATGATGCTATGGCACTCTACTGAAGGTGACATAGTGATACTCTGTCTCAAAAAAAAAAAAAAAAGAAAAAAAGAAAAAGAAACCTGCTTAATTTTCATTTAACATGGCATTTTACAAACCTACCTGACCATGACATCTCTTGGGAACACAGTTTGGGAAACACTTGCCTACCGCAGAAGGGAGCAAACTTCTGTAAACCTTTTCTGTAAAGGGCCAAGTAGTAAACATGTTACCCCGTGGTCGATACATAGTCTCTGTTCCACCTGTTCATCCCTGCCCTTGGTGGAGGCAGCATTGGTTGATTTACGGCTGCTGCGATTTCATACGATTTTCATTTGTCACAAAATATGGCTCTTCTTTTGAGTTTTTCCCCAGCCATTTAAAAACATAGAAACCATTCTTAGTCTGCCAGTTAAATACAGGAGGTGGGCCCGATTTGCTGGGGGTGTGGCTTGTGCAGCCCTGGCCTAGCAGGTGTAGCCCTGGCCCCTCAGTGTGCACAGCTGTGTTGTGGTGGCCCCAGCCTGATGCTCTCTGGCCCTGCTCTCACTGCTGCCCATCAGAGGTACACCAGCGGTGTGGAAGCCAGCTGCCTCACCACGCCCATGATGCTGTTTCAAGCCTCAGGCAGGACCTGCTGTATAATTTACTAGGCCCAGGGCAAAATGAAAATGTGGAGTACTTTGTTCAAAAATTGTTAAACTAAACCAAATATAGGCCCTCCTGGAAGTGGGCCCCGGCCTGACAGCACAGGCTGTGCACACATGAAGCTGGCTTGGACTCCACATTTTCGTTCTTTTTCCTTCTGTTTCCTGTTAACCTATCAAAATGCTCCTTGGACACCACTTCCCTGACCCCCTCCAGCCCTGGAGGCTTCTCTACTTTCTGTGCCCCTCATTACCTTGCTTGGGCCACTCTGGGCTGCATTTATCTCTCCCTCTCTCTCTTTTTTTTTTTTTTGAGGCAGAGTTTTACTTTGTCACCCTCAGTAGAGTATCATGGCATCATAGCTCACAGCAACCTCAAACTCTTGGGTTCAAGCGATTCTCTTATCTCAGCCAACCAAGTAGCTGGGACTACAGATGCCCACCACAATGCCCAGCTATTTTTAGAGACAGGGTCTCACTCTTACTCAGGCTGGTCTTGAACTTGTGAACTCAGGTGATCCACTCACCTTGGCCTCCCAGCGTGCTAGGATTACAAGCGTGAACCCCCACACCTGGCCACATCTCTTTATACATATGCTTCTCTGTCTCCCCTATTACACTAGCAACTTCAGTAAGAAAAGTGGTTTTCTCTGGGCGGCACCTGTGGCTCAAAGGAGTAAGGCACCGGCCCCATATACTGGAGGTGGTGGGTTCAAACCTGGCCTGGGCCAAAAAGAAAAGTGGTTTTCTCTATTTGTGGCCCGGGATCCTAAAACAGAATGTGGCACATAGCAGGTGTCAAAGAAATAGCTGTGAAGCTGGATGGTGTGGTGATGCCGCCAGTAGCTATCTTCTTGTGAAGTTGACCCATGATCCATTATAAGATAAGTATAATGTGCTGCAAATATTTGCTGGGGAGACATGGAGCACCATCGTTCACGCTCAGTTTGATGGGGCCATCCTCAGGAGTAAGAGTGAGCCCAGGGCAGCTCTTCATTATAGCCATAACTGATAAGTCATTCCAGTGGACTGTGGACATAGAGGGTGCAGCTCCCCTGCCTGTGAGGATGATCGTGTTTCCCTTCTAGAAGCTCCGTGATGGCTGGGACTTGTTCACCGCAGGTTCCTGTGCATCGTGAGCAGCACCTGGTACATAGCAGTGACTGCTTAACTAGTGTTCATGGAGTGAATGAAGGAAAGAAATCCTAAAGGACTCCAATAGGCTGTATAAAATGCTTTGTAATCTAAGACAGAATGTGTGCTGTGCAACTCAGTGGTGAAGTTATGGAAGGCAGCATCGTGCTGCGGAGAGAGGCCTGCACCAGAAGTCAGGAGTCTTGGTTTCCAATAATAATCATGACAATAACTTCTAGTGACATCTTCTAAGGCACTTTACCTGGCCACATCATTTCATTCTCACCACACCCCCAGAGGTGGAGACCATGGAAGGAGGTGAGAGAAGGGTTGAGCGACCCGCCCACAGGACAGAGCAGGTGCCCAGGGACCCTGCACTTGATGGAATCCTGTGGTGGAGGATTCATCCTCCTCCTTGGTGGAGGCCTGTGCTCCTCCACCCTTGCAGTCCTGGCTCTCTCCCTGTGACCTTTAGGGTTCTCAGTCTTCTCATCTGAAAAATGAAGTTTGGACGAGTCAATTGCTAAGATTCCTTTCAGTTTTAAAATGTGGTGTTTAGAAAGCAAGCAGTTTGGTCAGAGGGGGTAGAATAGATGGGTTTGTCATTGCTAGTTTTTATTGGTTTATTTGTTTCTAAACATGCAGAAAGGACAATCTTGAGTCATTTTTGGGAAAACTTGAAGCTCACCCCACACACTGGGAGATTGACTCTCTTATTTCCTGTGACAAAATGTTTTATCCCAGACTTGTGTGGGATAAGATGCTAAGTTTTTCCTCATGTGAACTTGCTGACGGAGTGTTGTGTATTATCTAAGGATCTGCATTGTAAACAGAGTACCTGTTTCAGTTCAGAGACAGTGGTCTTCTTGCAACTCCATCTTACTCCTCTTTAGAAAGTCTTGTAAACGTTTCAGTGGACTTCCCCTTCCATTGCATACCTCCCTTCTCCCATTCACCTGCTCCATTCCTGCTGTTCTTTAAACGCCCAGGCACACCGCCACCTTAGGACCTCCACACCAGCTGGTCTTTCTACCTGAAGAGCTGACCCTCTTCATCCGATGGCTCAAAGCCTCTCCTCCAGTAAGAGGTTGCTCGCCCTGCCTCCCTGGGCCCCCCTATTTAAAGGTGCTACCTGGCCCCATTCCAAATCCCCTGCACCCGTCTCCACGTCTCTGCTTTTGCTTCCTGTCAAAGTACTTGTAACCTTATAACATATTATAAACCTTATTTGTTGTGGCAAATTGCTGATTGTCTGCTTATACCTGTTAGGATGCATGCCCTATGAGGTCAGGGATCTCTGCGTTGACACCAGTGCAAGGATCCTTGTCTAGGACAGTGCCTGACATTAGGGAGGCACTCAATAAATATTTTTTGAATGAAAAATCTCTAAGATGATCAAATTCAGGAGGAAGAATTATCGTTATAGGACACGGAAGTACTGACATGGACTAGGTAGTGAATAACCCTAAAGTCACGTATTTGCCGTCAAGTAGACTCTAAGCTAATTGCATCACTTTTATGCATGTTTACCTGCAGAATTGATGGTATCAAGCCTAAAATAGTGCTGAGGTCTTGTACAAGGTCAGACAATTAAGTTCACAGACTCGCCCTAGAAAAAGTGCTACATCCCTTGTGGCTGAATATCACTGTGGTCACCTTTAGAGTACTCTCCCATGGGTCATCTGGTGACCACAGTGATATTCACCAGGGAGATATGTAGCTCTCTTCCTAAAATGAGTTCATGAACTTAATGGTCAAAATTATGACAATGGCTCTGATGGCCATTCCAGAAAAGAGTTCCAAAATTGCTTTGAAGGGTAGACGAGGCACAGGCCTTGGGGCGCTGCTTCCCCGGGGAGCACTTGGAAGGTGACCGCAGGGACGCTCAGCAGGGAGGTGTGTGGCGCTTTTTCTAGGCTGAGTTCACGAACTTAACTATCCAATCTTGTTTAGGCTCAGAAAGGCTTTGACTGTAAAATTCCAGGCTTGATTATAAGCAATGTATGACTTTTAAAATCATATACATTCTTAGATTGGAAAGTAACATTGAAAAATGCTGACTCCTAAGGTAAGAAGTGCTTTGACAAAACATTTTCTTGGTTATTACAGCAAAGAAGACAGTGGAATCCAAAGAAACAGTTACGATGGGGGACTCTGTGACGAAAATAAATGGGGTTTATTTAACAGAATCAAATGCCATTGGCCACTTAAAGAGTCACCCACTTCTGCTAACTCGTGATGGAGGCTTCAGTGAAATCAAGGAGCAAGGAATGTTCCAAGGAACCACCTCCTCACCATCTCACCTCAGAAGTGGAGGGTCAGTATTCTTTTTATTTAATTTTCTGGTTAAGATAGCTATCATTATCTTCCATACATGACTGATTAGCTTTTTCCCTTTTACATAAGGAAATTTTAAGTTAATGGTGTAAGAATGGGAGATATTTTTTTCTCATAACTGAATGGAGTTGATTTTATATCACTCATTATTTAATCCTCAACTTTTATTGATAACTGCTGAAATGCTGCTTTGCTAGGACGGTCAGAATACGGTTTAGGTGGCTGCATCAGCCAGCCTCAAGTGCTGACTCACCGTTCTGTTTGCGTATCATTTGGGACTCTTGCCCAGCCTGGAATCTCTTACTATCTCCCTTTGGGTTAGTCCATAGTAGAGGACACTTCTTTTATCCTTTAGTAGAAACTTGGATTAAATATTTATTTTGCAAACTAGTCATTAAAACAAGACTCTGTGGATTTCTGTTGGCTCTGCAATTCCTCTGTTGACTCCTCATAAATGAGTAACTGGGAATTTCTTTATTTCATATCACATTCCAAGATATCACATTCCTTGAGAAGCAGTTTTCCCACCATACTAAGGATTCACAGAGGTTTCTGTGTGTGGTTCACCGTGTGGACCATGTGAATTCTTACCCTGATGTTTTGCTAAAGACGCCTTGAATAATGAGAGGCAAGAATGGGGAGAGCAGGCTGTTTTCCTGTCCCTGCCAGTAACGATGCTAAGATAGGCAAAAGGTCTCGGACTGGACGGGGTCACTCAGCTAAAGATATTTTTTTCTAGGACTTTCCATTGGGTCATCATGGATAACTGCCCAGTTCAAATTTATTTAACAAGATTAAATTCCCTGGGCCATTTTAAGACCAAGGGCTTGTTGCAGTCACTTTAGGTTTGGGGCTGACTTTGGCTTGGACACATGTAGCGTGCCTAAAACGTTCCCCCCCAAGTGGCTGCTTGGCAGCTTGTTAGTTTAGCTGAACTGATCTCGTCTGCTGACACAGCCTGAACGGTGTCACACACACAGAATTCATAGTAGGCGACCTAAGTTGTCCTTGTCATGTCGCTTTGCATTCAGAACATTTTTTAAATTAAAGGAAAAATGAAATGTCTCCTTAAGTGGAAGAGAAGGACTTCAAATTGGGACTTGGGGAGTTGAGCAGAAAACATCAAACTGACCATTGCAGACGAATCTTTTCCAGTTGGTGAATAAGAATAGGCGATGGGCCTCAGAGCTTAAACCTGAAAGGCAGCAGGGAAATGCGTGTTCCTTTCAGTCCTGAAGTAAAAAGGAAACATTTATCTTGCTGCATCCATCCTTACAGTAATGAAAGCTGACTAGAAAATCCAGACAAGAGCTATTTAATTTGTTTATTTATCTTTGCAAACCTTCACTGTGGCAGAATAATCTGGCAAGCCAGAGTTCATTATGTCCTCCTCATTCTGGGACAGCAGGGGCATTTTCAGTTACATATTTTATCCCCCACACAGCAGAGGACAGATCAATTAGCACTTCTTCCTCACTGTCCAAAATCACGAGGCGTTGGCAGCAGCACTAATTATTTTCTTTTTGTTTTATTAGGATGCCTTTTGCAACATATAATGATTGTATCGGAGCTGGGTTTACAATACACCCTGGCAAGTTTAAACTTTCAATAACATTTTTGCATTATGAATATTTACCTCCTTTAATCATTGGATGGAATTTCATTGAAGTGGTGCCAGAAAAAAAAAAAAAAGTTTATATAGTAGGATTAAAACAAACCAGAAAATGGAAACTCTTAGCAATTCTTTCATTAATTACATTTATGAATCAGTCTGGGACTTTTGATAATTGTTTCTTATAAACATTTAAGTAAATAATTCCAAGAAATGATGGTTGCTATGCAGTATTCCCAGTTTTGATGCGAGAGCTCTACCCTCAATTAACATTTTTTCATCTTTAAACCATAAAGTGGAAAATGAAGACTGTTGTCAGCTGGGGTGGCAGAAGGGAGGGAAGGGAATTGGGATGACAAGAGGTGGAGGAGTGTGAGCAGATCACAGAAAGGGCACAGTGCAGGTGAGGACATGCTCCTAGCACAGGGTCCTTTACAGCCTTGTCCTGTGTGACAGGGTTCACCTTTGTGTCAAGTGTTTCTCTAACTGCGGAGAGAAAGGAAAACTTTGTATTAGAGTAACTGCAGTGATTTGTGCACCTGTAATTAGAACTCTGGATAATTCAGGGTCGGGTGCGATGGCTCACACCTATAATCCCAGCACTCTGGGAGGCCGAGACGGGTGGATCACTTGAGCTGACAAGTTCAAGACCAACCTAAACAAGAGTCAGACCCCATCTCTAAAAAATAGCTGTGTATTGTGGCGGGCTCCTGTAGTCCCAGCTATTTGGGAGGCTGAGGCAGGATGATCGCTTGAGCTCAAGAGTTTGAGATTGCTGTGACCTGTGATGTCATGGCACTCTACCGTGAGCAAGAAAGTGAGACTCTGTCTCAAAAAATATATATATGGATAATTCAGACATGTTCAGAATTCAGACTGAGTTTATGCTGGTTATGATGGAAAAAGGATTTACTAAGCGAGGTATGATTGCAAACAAGATACTGGGGACCGTTTAACTTTACAAAAGCGAACACTCAAGCACTTATGGAACTCTCACCCCCAAACTGATTGCCAGGTAAGAATCTCTGGGGCTTATTTAAGGTTTGCGGACCTGCTTCTCAGCAATACTTCATTCTCCCTTGCTTTGTATCACCTTCTGGATTGAAAGTAACACAGCTTCTCATACCTTGAGCAATATGTGTGTGTGCAAATCTCCATCCATCCATCCATCAGTCCAGTCTGATGAAACCCTTTATACAGCTGCTGAAAACCTACCTGAGCCTTTCTGTGTGGACACTGTTCAGATTGTCCTGGTTTGGAAATGTGATCTTTAGGAAGAAATCCCAGGAGCAGTCAACTGTCACAAAGAGTCAAGAACTCTTCCCTGGAAGCCAGAATCTCTGGATTTAGATTCGGTTCTCTCTGTCATTTGATTTAGCTGTATTTGTCAAGCCTCAACACTTTCATGGATGTGGTTTTCCAATCTCTAGAATGGGAACAACTCTGCTCTTTTACTTCCATCTCCTCCTGGCCCTCACCGTGGGTTGTGGAATGATTACCAAGGCTTGAAAGCCTTACTTGTAAACTGTCAAGTGCTCTTAGTCTTGTTGGAATCAAAAATAAAAAAAGGCAGCTTCTGGTTAAAGATGCAAAGGCTTTCTGCAGAAACCCAATAAAGCCAGCAAAGATCGGAAAGCAGAGAAGAGTCATCTATGAAACTGGAAAAAAGTGGTTCTAACCCCAAACTACAAAACATGAAGCAAACTTTATTTTCATGTTTGCCTGACAAACTTACCTTTAGGGAACAAGCCCTCTTGCTTGTAATAAATCCTGCCCAGTTCATGTTGAGGGGAGGGCTGACCCTGTTTCCCGTACCTCCTTTCCCAGGTGGTGGTTATGCAGCCTAGGGCTGGCTAATCAGGGCTCTTCAACCCCGGCTACAGCTGTTGGGTTAGGGCTGGAGAAAGACTGGGACTGTCACCAAGGCATTTGGGGAAAGTGCTCTTTCTCCAGTCTCACAGATAATGTGGTCTTGGTGATGAACAAAACAGAGCCAAGGAATGGAGATAGTGATCAAGCTGAAGGATGATCCAGCTGTGGCTGAAGCCACCTCATCAACACTGGAGACGACTCTGCTTTGTGAACTTGTGTGCCCCTTTTTCTGTTTCTTCTTCCTTCTTACCTTCCTTCCTTTTTGTCCCCCTCGTTCCTTCCTTTTCCTTTCTTCCCTCCTTCCTTTATTTATTTATTTTTTGTAACCCAGGCAGTCCCCGGGTTACAAATAAGATAGGTTCTGTATGTTTGTTCTTAAGTTGAATTTGTATGTAAGTTGGAACAGGTCTATTTACCTATTATCTGTTATAGCCTCTGGTCGTAAGTATGAGTCAAATGTCAGTTGGATGTTTGTAACTCAGGTACTGCCTGTACTTCAGATTAGGTTTTTGTTACTTAGAACACAGCAATCAAAATTATCCACTCAACCTTCCAGACCCTAAGAAATCTTAGATGGTGGACTTTGAGGGTGGACATACCTCCTTAGACTTAGAGTAAGAAACAGATCTCTCTAAAAGTGAGTCTTAGTTCAAAAAGTTGTACCCAGTCATCTTTAACTGAGATCTAAGAGAGATGAGATCTAGGAATGTAGGCAGGCCAGGGGAGAGGTGTGGATGCACTGGAAGGATTCCATTCAGAAGTCCAGATCGTGAAGTGAGGGGAGGATGAGCTGAGAGATCATTACCTGTGATCCAGGTGGTTTGTGTGTGTATATCTTGGGGAGGGGGTTGGATCTATTAGAACTCACAGAGCCTACATGTAAAAAGACTTCTCTGGGAGTTACAACACCCTGCTTGACACCTCCAAGGGAACACACAAGTCCCGAGTCAACAAAAATAATGGATTTGGTGATTGGACATTCAAGAAAACTAAGGTTTAACCTGCGGAGTACCCCAGTTCTCCCCCGTATGGATCCTATTCAGCTTTAACAAATAAATAGCTCTATTTAAAGATAAATAATATTAGGATAAAAACTGAATGGCAGTTGAGCTCAGATATAGAGAGAACATAATAAAAGACAGAATGAAAGAATTGCATCCCTAAAGGTGTTGCCCTCCAAAAACATGTAAAAATTATAGATAATTTGAAGACTTTCTTTTTAAAAAAAGAAAGCAAAAAAGAGCTTTTGGGCGGTATGAGAGTTTAAATTAGATGTTATAAACTCACATAAGAAGATAAGCTTGCCGTTCTCAAAAAACAAATGAAAAAATATATAAACATGGAGAAGAAAACCACATTAGAAATAAAAAATAAGAATAAAAACAGCTGAAAAGATATGAGACATGGTGGACACACTATAAGAAATCATAAAGCAAGACATGAGCAAGTTATAAAAATGATTAGAGAGACTGAGATAGATATGGAAGGATAAAATT